TCCCTTTCCTGGCTATCCAAGTCCGTTTGAGACATGTTTCTTTCTTGTGCACCTAGGGGACAGTATTCCTTTTCGTGTCTTCGTAGATTGTAACCACGATTAAATTGCTTTCCGCAAAATTGGCAGCTCATTCCGTTAGCACCGACTGTGCAGAAATGCCTTGCTATTGAGCAGTATTGCAGTTTTATGAGCAGATGAGCATGTGCTCATGAGCACTTATGAGCATGTGCTCATATGCATGGGACGCCCAGGACTTGCTTGCAGGACATTTTGAGAGGTGTCCCTATATAAATCGCACTGATTTTAAGAGCAAATTATTGTTGCCAAAGCTACCGCGTTGGTTGACTGCATGCATAAATTAACACATGGATTAACGTTTTGTACACGCGATAGTTATATCGCACGCAAGAACGCAGATTAGTGTTTCAAACAATCTAATTCACATCACAATCAATCAGTCAACATGCAGTGTAAAACAGACATCGTTGGGATCCTTGACATGGACGGATTTCAAACTGGAAAGAAATTTTTCTGTAAGGAGCTGGGAGTCATAAAGGTCGGAGACCCTGAAGCCTCGTCGTTCTTTTTCGATATTGGCTTACACTGGAACGAGCTGAACGAGAAAGACAAGAGAACGTGTAACTTCGTCCAGAAGAAGATACATAAACTCCCGTTTGGAATGCCACAGGGCACTAAAGCATTTCAAATTTCGGACTTGCAGGCAATTGTAGAGAATTTCTACCATGAAATACAGATAGATTCAAACTCTACAATTGCGTTCAAAGGCGGACATTACGAAAGGGACTTGCTGGCGAGTCTCCGCATTCCGGCCGTAAATTTGGAATGCTTCAATTGTCTCAAAGCTGAAAAACTATTTGATCAATTGATCTGGTTAGAAACCTGTGGGAACCACCTGGAAAGCAACGCTTATCAACACTGCGCAAAAGTGGAAGTAGAGGCTTTTGCGATGTGGCTGCAACAGTAAAGACAAACCCAAAACACCGGTTCTTTTAAGAACCACCAATTTTACAAAAAAAGAATAAAAACGAAACTCGATTATTAACATATTTACACTGAATCTCAAAGTTTACTTCTCAAATATTCCACATATGCCTTATAATGATCTTCTTCATGACTTCTAAATTGCTCGCCTGTCGCTTTCACAGTATACTTAAAACTAGGGGGCATTGAAAAAAAGACCGTAGCCCCAGGTTCAAGTGGGTCATCACAACAATCCTCTTTGCAGTTACAAAGTTATACATCTGCGATCTCTCCTCATACGATAACATAAGACACTCATTCTGACTAAAGCGATTTAGTTTACAACCACAGCACCTCTCTTCGAAAAGCTCATAAACCTCGCAAGAAACAGTTTGTGCAAATATTGTCTCTAACAAATTGCATAGCTTCCGAAATTCCATAGGCGAAACTTCGTCAACATTATTCGACCTTGAAGAACGCATACTTGGTCAGGACAAGTGCAATACAATTACGTAATGCTTACTAAAACTGGACGTACACTAAGTACGAACGCTTGGACGTACGCTTGGACGCACGCTAAGTACGTACGCTAAGTACGTACGCTAAGTACGTACGCTAAGTACGTACGCTAAGTACGTACGCTAAGTACGTACGCTAAGTACGTACGCTTGGACGAACGCTAAGTACGTACGCTAAGTACGAACGCCCGGACGTACACCCCCTGTTGACGTCATTCGCTTGAATCACTTCCGGTGGTGGATGGGGGGGGTTACCTACTGGCGGACACCTGCAGGCCCAAGTGATCACCCCTGTAACAATAATTTTTAACCACGAATTTTTCAATCAAGCTATATATTGCGTGATTTAAGGCAAAGAAGATTACATAATTGAGATTCCAGCTACAGAAGGTGGTCATATGATGTTGGCAATCAAATTCCCCCATCCCCAATATTTCGCGAAGTGTCCGCTACGGCTGAGTATGTATAATAGGGTGTAGCAATCAACATGAGTATTTAAAAATATTTAAATTATTGCATAAGCATTGCACCAGCAAAACTTACATTCACTGTATATTTGTATCGTCGTTGCTTCTGTTTCGTTGGTCGCGGTTTTTCATTTCTGTTGATGGTCCATCATGCATGCTCCGCTCAGTTTACAGTGAACCACCATAAAAAAATGGGAAAAAATTATGTTAACAAGCGCAACGATGAGACTTAACGTGTTATAAAAATACAAAATCCGAGTGATAATAAAATGCGGGGCATGCGTAATGAGTAAAAAATAAATATTATTTTCTTAATTGTAGAACATTAATAACAGTGACAAACCGTACTTTTGCATCATCTTCGACGTCTTCTACCACTCTCTCATCTGCTTGTTCCAGTCTTTGCTCTCGCTTTAATTTTGTCCAGTCGTTAACTTCATATTACTCTACCAAAAAAATATGCAATAAAAATTTTAGGGAAAAATTTAAAAAGAAATGGCAAGAGGGAATTTTACGATGTAAGGCAGACTTTTTGTGAACAGTTGTTACTTGGTGAAAAGCTAGTATCATGGGCATGCAATCCAGCAAATATATGTGTTCACTTACACTGTTTAAAAATGTGCATAAAGTTCGCCTGACTTTGCTATTATGTATGCAGACTCGCATGATTACGTCATTGTTACATGCACACATTAATTTAATACGGTCGCTTGAAACAACAAAAGTAACGCATATTTCTAAAGAAAAAAATCCGATACAAAACACCTTGGGGCTTGGACATATTTTCTATATTTGTTGATACCTTTTCGAGTTGAAAAAAGTTTAGAAGTGCTTAAATTTTTTCAATAAAATGCTTTTTATCGAAATTATTCTGTAGATGGGCGGGATATGCAAATTGCTCAACAAACGTCATCATCGGAAAACCATTGGCTTATTTCTTATTGGCTGCTGAAAAATCGACAATTTCTGAAGTTCATTCACTGCAGTATATTATATTCGGAATTTTCCGATGATTTTTTTGATGATGACGTTCGTCAAGCAATTTTTATCCCGGCTATCTACAGCAAAATTTCGATAAAAACTAACTTTTTTATGGAAGAAATTTAAACACTTCTAAACTTTTTTCAACTCCAAAAAGTATTAATAAATTTAGAAAATATATCCGAAGTGTTTCATGAGGGTGGGAAAGGGTATTTTCGTGAGCCGTGAATGGTGAATATTTGTTCGTGTGAAATGTGAAATGCTTGATTTTAGTGTCGTGAAATGTGATTTGTTCTACAGCCGTGAGGCGTGATTGTTGATAAAAATGCTCTGTGAAATGAGAATTAAGGATGCCTGTTTCGTGAACTGTGATTATTATAGTGATTATTATAATAATAAATAAATATAATAATAAAAAAAAGAAAAGAAAACATGATACGCGATAATCAAATTTATATGATCTCACTCGATTGCACAAGAGTAAAAACATCGGAGGCCTTTCGCGAGGTTCCTGGCGCTGAGGACAAGGTTCCTGGCGCTGAGGACAAGGTTCCTGGAGGTGAGGACAAGGTTCCTGGAGGTGAGGACAAGGTTCCTGGCGGTGAGGACAATGTTCCCTCGGTGAGGACAAGGTTCCTGGCGGTGAGGACAAGGTTCCTGGCGGTGAGAACAATGTACTCTCGGTGAGAACAAGGTTCCTGGCGATGAGGACAAGGTTCCTGGCGGTGAGGACAAGGTTCCTGGCGGTGAGGACAAGGTTCCTGGCGGTGAGGACGAGGTTCTTGGCTGTGAGGACAATGTTTTTGACGGTGAGGACAATGTTCCTGGCGGTGAGGACAAGGTTCTTGGCGGTGAGGACAAGGTTCCCGGCGGTGAGAACAAGGTTTCAGACGGTGAGGACAAGGTTTCTAGCGGTGAACACAAGGTTCCTGGCGATGAGGACAAGGTTCCTGGCGGTGAGGACGAGGTTCTTGGC